TGTTTTAAAAGAGCAGAATTTTCACAGCTAGTGTTCATCATCAGCAAAATTTCATAACGTTAGTCCGCATAATCACGAAAGACAAAACTATCTTATGCTGTCTGTTTGGTACAGGGCATTTACATGAAACGTGATGCAAAAGACTATCCATAATTCTGCATAAACAATTCAAATTACAAATGGTCAGCTTCATCTGATAGTTTTGAAAATTTTGCATAGGTTCCATTAATCATGCTCGAGAATGTTCGCTTCTGACTTACAATTAGATGTTCTTACTTTCCTGAATTTTCTACGATGCGCGCTCATTTTCAGTATGTTGTCTTCGACGGATTTGCTTCATCCGGTGAGTTTTGGAACCGACAAGTCATGCGCTTTCTAGTAGCCCCCAATCAGAAAGAAAGATTGCGTTTTTCTTAGACCCTGGCGAAAACCCTTCGAATTGCATTTTTCTAAAAAGCTCTTCAGCAGTACCCTCCTTTTTTGAAAGTAAAACCATAATAAGAAGGAAAACTATGGAGATGATTTATGACATCGCGGAGCAAAAAAGTGAACAATGAAAGATTGAAAAATGATTTTTTTGAAAGCCCGTCATACTTCATGTGGGCTACTCTGTAGATCTCATCGAATAGATACTACAAGAGTTTCTTATGAGACAAAGACGTCAGAAAATATTTTAAACATTTCTTTGGGCTCGCAGGGATTTTTCGATGATTCCCTGCCGCAACTGATTACGGCGTTTTTTACTTACAATTAGAGCTATTATACATGCCGTACTTTGAACGAGTACGGTATCGTAAGCATTTCTGCCTTTCTGCCTTTTCAAAAAAAGATGTCTTACCATGGTATTATCGGGCCAGTGATAATGTCCACCGCAACAACGTTTCAGACCAATCAAAGCTTCGCTCTTCAGTGCAGTTTTCACTGCAATGATATGGCTTTTTTTTGAATTCAAACATATAAACACAAAATTGCGGGGCTTACTGGTCATCAAAAACTTGGCTTTCTCGTAATTCTCAACTTTTGCAAGTTTCCCATTATGTTCGAGACCGCAGCTCCTTTCAGCTCCGCTCTGGAGTAGGAAAAGAACCTTTGATTCTGTTGCTCTAAACTTAGTTGCCTCTTCCAAACTTACCCGCTCTGCTGGCATTCTCGCTGCTCTGTAGCAACCGTACTCCGGTCTGCTGTTATTATAGGGAACATAGTTGTCCGGACAGAAGCAGTTTGCTGAAAATCATTTGATTATGATGAATTCAGGAGGGAAGTTAGAGCCAGAGCCCACTCAAATTAGGGTATCTGAATTTCTATGTGGCGATTTTGAGTGGTCTCAACTGAGACATACAAATGCCAGCTCATGAGGTTCATTTGGAGCAAAAAATGGGTGTTATCTATCGCTCAGCACCGTACTCTTTAGAGCGCGAACCAATTGGCGTCCGAGATTACGGTAATGGACGTGAGTTTGAAACTGAGTTTTCGAATCATGACTGAACTACATCTAGCTGTTTGGGAGATGGCTCCACTTGAGAAACCCGGATACCCAAGTTTGATCAAACCGCGTTTAGCTTACCTCTTCCCAGCATTGTGGCCAAAGTCTCATGATCAAGATTGTCATGTTGATTACCGGTAGAATATCCCTCGCTCGCAATCTTAGTAAGGATTGGTACAGGTATGCCGCCTTCTTGTAGGTACTCTATATAAAGATTACTTTGTCAAACAGTCGGATTAATCGCCATAATTCATAGACATTATATCCATGACGATGTTTAGCAGCTTAAAGAACAAGGTTTTTGATGTTTTTGCATAATCAACGGTCAACGTTGAAGAATTGAAGTTTGTAAAAGTTGGAAAGTTCATATTGACAGACACCTTACCAACAGTAACTAAGATGCCTCCGAAGTCTTTGAATGTGTTGGCTGCAAAAGTTGGATTCTCGCTGTTCTTCCTGCAGAATGAAATTAAAATTATGAAAAGATTCACGAGATCATGTGTAATTTCAGCCATCGAAGGCCCCTAGTAATTAATCAGCGTACCTTTCAGAATCTTTGTATCTCTCATTATATGCATGTAACACTCAAGTAATAAACGAAGATGGTATATTCAGTGGTATTCTATATTACAGTCGAGTAGATTTTCCGCTTAATATAGTGTGTTTGCACTGT